CACTGAAAAAATTAGCAAGTACACAGAACTTGCCCAGGAAATAAGGCATCTATGGAGGATGGATAGGGTAGTTATTGTACCTGTTGTTCTTTCCTGTACAGGTGTGATACCACACACACTACACAAAAGCCTGGGAACATTAGAATTGAGTAGAAATACATACATAACACTACAGAAGGCCACTATATTGAATACATGCCACATTGTTAGGAAATTCCTGAATACAGACACTGACACACTTATTTAATTTTAGTTTTGTTTTGGTTGCTATGCCTTGACTCTGGTCCGGCATAGTACACAGCCACCGGTGTTAATCGAGTAAAACTCACTAAACTCAACATAATAATAATAATAATGTCTTGTTTTCACTTTATACTACAATATATCAGGTGTTCATAATTAAAGTACCATTATTTAGTGCTGTCTACAGAGAAATTTAGCAGTCCAAATGCAAAAAATGTGGTATGTGACATTTCAGAATATGCAGATGTTTCCATAAAAAAATTTATACCAAAATTATCATTATGATACTTTTTGTATATGAAATTAAAATTAAAAACGTTTTATTTATACAAACACTCTGGCTATATTTACTTTACAAAACAAGGGATATTGCTCAATGTGGTTCTTACTTTAAAGGTGTAAAAGGCATATAGTGTGCTCAGCAGCTGACTGTAATTGATCCTTTGATGATTCTCACATGCAATGTTATATTATTTTTTAAGGCTTCCAAATTTGCAATATCCTTGATAAACCACACTTTTTAAGTGTTTTCAAAACAAAAAATTATACAGATTAAAATCTAGAGAACAAGATTGTCAGGCAATAGGAAATGCATGATTAAATATAATCACTCTGTTATCAGTGAAATGTTATTGCTGCTGTACATATCATCCTGATATGTGGAGGTGTGCTCCATCTAGCATGAAAGACTCAAGATGCTGTTGCAGTTGGATATTACAAAAATATTTAATATCTCTGAGTTATCACAGTGCTTATCACAGGTCATCCATTGGGACGAGCTTCTTCAAAGATAAATGTGACTAGGAATCCACACAAGATTTTCACTTTAGTCAAGTTCATTAGAATTTGCTGGAAAATATGAGGGTTTTTTGTGATCCAAATGCAACTATGGCTGTTCATTGTTCCACATAGGTGAAAGTGTGCCTCATGGCTCTACAAGATGTTCCATGACCATAACATATCCATTTTCATTCTGGAAAGAAAGGTCAATACATAGGTTAGTTGAATTTCCTTATTTGTGGCAAGCAGAAGCTGGTTGTGGCTGATCTTACATGGATAACAATATCTTCTAAGTTAATTACCAGTGTCAATGAACACACTTGATAAACCTTTGTCTGGTAACTTTTTAAAATTTGTGAAACGAACATTTTCGGCCTCACTCGAAGTCTGCTTCAGGTTAAATTGAGAAGGAATTCCAAACTTAGAACGTCTTGTATGGAACATTTTGAAATGTTAAATTTTAAAATAAAATTGGAACATGGTTATTAACTGTATTTATCGGTTGCATGAGCATGCCATCTATGTATAATTACATAGGGTATCCCGTGTAAGCCTATTAATTGCGGGACTGGTATAACCGTAAATAATACACACTCACAGAGCATCAGTGACCTCTTGTTCCTCACATACATAGCGCCAGGCGTACAATAATGTGTTGCCGTCCTTAAAGTTAATGCATCTACCCGCCAGACCTGCCTTGTATATTTCAAGAGCCTCAAGGGTCCTGATGTGATTCGTGTGAAAGGCTCTCTTTATCAGCCTGGCATTGGTCAGGTCCACGTGAACTTCTGGGTCGATGGCATAGGTGGATAGGGCGATGGTGTATCAAGCATGGTCTAAATCGTATTTGTGCTCATGGACTCTCTGTTGGATGGAATGTTTGGTGGAGCCGATGTACACCATGTCTCGCCTAAACTGGCGCTATGTTTGTGAGGAACAAGAGGCTACCGATGCTCTGTGAGTGTGTATTATTTATGGTTATACCAGTCCCGCAATTAATAGGCTTACATGGGATACCCTATGTAATTATACATAGATGGCACGCTCGTGCAACCAATAAATACAGTTAATAACCATGTTCCAATTTTATTTTAAAATTTAACATTTGAAATTGTTCCATACAAGATGTTCTAAGTTTGGAATTCCTTCTCAATTTAACCTGAAGCAGACTTTGAGTGAGGCCGAAAATGTTCGTTTCACGAATTTTAAACATTACCGGACATAAAGGTTTGTCGAGTGTGTTCAATATACCAACTTTCTCCAGTACTTTCTACAATGTGTCATAGAAAACACCCAATTGCTGTGATATTATACATGCTCTGCTATCTACTGGAGCAACATTATTTATTGACTTCAATAACCACTGAGGTAATGTATAACAATTTGTGAAGTTATAAGTTGCACTTTTGACCAGGATGAACTCCTACGTGTCCAGTTTCCTTTGATTGATCATTCTCCTGAGAGCTTGTCTAGTCAGTGGTTCTTAGCATAAATTATTATGATGTAATTCCTAAAGAATAGCAGTAGCATTGTTATTGTCTTAATAAAACAGCTTTACTTGAAATACATGTTTCAGCAATTGTAGCTGATAAGAGTGCCATTCAACAGTTGTGGCTACTTTTATACCCAGAACTTGGCTGCAACACATGTGCTTATGCAAAGGAAATTGCTTTTTCATTGCTTAATGTTCAAAAAGTAAGTATAATGGTTAGTGCCATGAGTTTGATACTAATTTTCTTATTACAGAAATGTCATCATACCAGATTTGGTTTCATTTGGTACTTTAATTACAATTACCCAGTATATTACATGATGGATTTTGAATTTATAGAATGTAGCAAGAAGGGTGTCATCTGCACGACCAAGAACGTCTTGTGCTCATCATCGACCTTTAAGCTATGCAGCATCTACAGCAGGCAGTGTCTTCTATGAAGAAAACCATGATTCTGGGCTTCCACCATCACAAGTAAGTAGTAAATTTATTTCAATTAGTGTTGCAACGAATAGTATATTCAGCCATGCTATTTGGCTTGATTAACGCATGTAAGAAAATTGGCACGCAAACTGCATTATGGCAAGGACCCTGCTTTCTATTGGTCCGCTGTCACTATGCTTTGCCAATCGCATTAATTCTTGACAGTTGAAGCGGACAGACACGAGCGTCATGGCAGTATGTGATAAGTGATGATATCAAATGTGGATAACAATGAAATGACCTACACATGTAAATAATGGAAAAAGAAGAGAGAAGGACCGCGAAGTGAAAATGTGAAAATAAATATGAAATTGAGTTGATAACATAATCAAACAAGTCGAGGCAGCTTATTGGTGCGAAATTTGCAGCTGTCAATGCCAAACAAACAATTGTTGTCATAGACTTCGGAAAGCTAAATGCTTGTAATGAAAGTCACTTAGCGTGCATGGGCGAAAGCCGTGGGCCATTCGAGCTACCAAGCTGTCTTGAATATGTGAAATCATAACTGTGACTTATACCGACGTCCTATCTGTCTCTTTTCTCCGTTATCACCAGGCTATGAGTCACGTAATTGTAAAATGGGAAATCTACGACGGAAAAGTGATGAATCAAAAGTATCATGAGCGCGTATTATGATGTATGCATAGGCATATCTGGACTAGAGCGATAGAGGAAAGAGAAAGGGAAGAGCAAAGACGAGCGCTTAAAAAGAAGGATAGGCAGGGTCAGACCCTCACTGTCAGATGTGCGACGATTCTCGAACGAATAGGTGTGTACGTGTGCTGATCTTTGTAATTATAAATTGTGAATACATGTGACTATTTTCTTTTTTATTTTGTGCATATTATAAGTTATAAATAAATATAAACAAACAACACTAACCCGATAACATTAAATCTAAATACCAAAATGATTAATTTACTGAGTTTTTGTTATTTTTTACTCCTGTTTTTAGGTATTTGGTATTCAGCCAAATAGCGAAAAATAGGCCGAATACTGAATAGTAACCAAATATTCGTTACATCACTAATTTCAATCAAAGTAATAAGTTTTATCAGTATGATATGAATAATGCAAAATAGAACAAAATATAAAAATTATTTGAAATAAGTATAAAGTTATGACATCCTTTAAAAAGTTTCAGGAAAAGAGAGTTACTTTAGTTTGAATTAATATTACTGATACTTGTTGAATCATTTTGAATTTAGGTCTAGAGACATGATCTTGTCTTCATACTATCATAATAATGTCTTGATCTAATTTTGGTCTTCTGAAGTAGCCCAGTATCTCAGTCATGTCTTGTTCTTACTTGCAGTGACTTGTATTGGTCTGTATCCCTTATTTCAATTATTTGGCTTTTTATATCATTTTATTAGATATCAGTATTGAGCTCTTTAATACAAGTGTTTTCCTAAAATAATAGTCTTCTCAAAATGTTTAAAATTAAATAACATAATGTGGAAATAAAACACATTTTTATAAAGATTTTGAATATCTGCAAATGTCTTTAATTTTACTATTATTTTAGTTTTGTAAGTAATCAATCAGTACTGTTGATCTGGTACAATTTTAAGTTAGTTGGCCTGTGGAAAACAGTTACAAATGGGTTCCAGGTTCCCCGTATATCAGAAATTTCATAACATTTCTGACAAATTTTATATATCAGTATTGATGTACAAATTTTCTGTACATCAATACTGGTAGTAGCATACTTCTACTACCAGTGTTGGTGTACAGAAAATTTGTAGTGGACTAGGTGAAATTAAGAATGCCTGTTTTTATTTAAATGCTTTTCAATTTTTCAATTATTTTTGTAAATTTTATTTAATTTTAATTATTAAGTTTTTTAAATCTTATTTTACTGGAGACTGGAGTAACTGGAATATTTACTTACCATGTTTTTCACTTTTTTTGCTGCCATGTCTTGAAGCTTTTTTGTTGGAAAAGTCTAAGATATATCTGACATGTTTACTTTCTTTCCATGATCTTGCTCAATGGAAGTCAGAGCCAGACTGAAAAATTTTTTCTGATAGAATTTCTCTTGTAAATTTTAGTAATTTTCATTGTAGAGAAAGAATGCTACAACTGGAAACTATGATTGGAATTGTAAAAAAAATTATGCAGGTTGTGCATATGTATCAGGAAAACTGCTGGCTGATAAATTATTTTTAATAGTTAAAATTTAGTAGGTTATGGACATCTTTTAGGTTTTACAATTTATCTTTAAATGCACTATGAACTTTCAACAGTTTGTTTACCTATCTTCAGACCCGTGTCATCATAGTAAGCATTGGAACATTTTGATGCAGCAGAATATAGTATGTCATCTTTCTTTTCCGTCAAGTTTTCAGGTAATATGGCTACAAAAGTTTCAACAATTTTGTTTAGGCTGTTAAGTCAGACTTTCAACTGAATGATGATAATGTTTAGCCATCATTTACTTCTGTGTGCAAAAAAATATGTAAAGTTCTTAAAGCATCTTGTAGAATATTCATATTTATTTTATGATTTTTTATGGAATTGTTTAAGACTAAGTTTAAGCTGTGAGCTGTACAATAAATTTAATATGTCAAGCTTGGGATGTACAGTACCTAATCCTTTCTTGAACTCTTGAATGCTAGCAAGACATACTGGCAATTTCATCAAAAGTTAAGTTCTCTGAGTTTTCCTGCAAATAAGTTGTTTTCACAAAATAAGCCAAAAATTTGTTTATTCAGTTCTTTTGCTTCTTGACAATGACATTCAACCTGTTAATTGTAATTATGTGTCCAACACCACTGTCATAAATTATCTGGATTTTGTCTTGAAAATTAAAATCTTGATTTTCCTCTTGGTCTTGCAAGTTATGGTTTTGTTTAAAATCACTGATAAAGTATGCAAAGAATAAAATATAATTAAAGAGCTGATATTTTTTATACAAATGTATTTGGTACTTTTGAAACCGTGCTTGTAGTTATTAGTAGTAATTCAAACACAAATAATTATCGTATTTATTTTCAGGCACTTGGCAATTCTTATCATCAAGTTTTTATCCAGTTGATACGTGTTGTTATTACACACGTTTCGGGCATTTATTGCCCCTCTTCAGCCAACTTTTTGATTACAGGTTATCAAGATATTAAAAACCACAGGTTTCATCGCTTATGTTACAAAAATTTCTTGGCGCTTAACACACATTAATCTAAGAAAACATACGGTTTTTGTTATCTAAAATATTTTAAAACCTTATTTTTTATGTGGATTTACATGACAAATTTACAATGAAGTACGTACCTAATTATCTGTTTTTCGTTGTTATAAAATCTAAACACTTTAAAATTTTTCTTATACATTTACAACAATATTAAAATTGACATATTTGTCTTTCAAAATCATGCAATTTCCTCTTTTTGCAAACTATTGGCAAACTGCCACAAGGTGGCCTGCTAGTCATATGACTATAGTAACCAGTGGTACGCTTAACTGGGGGAAAGAAGAGGGGGAGGAAAGGTCATCCCAATAGTTTGCAAAAAGAGGAAATTGCATGATTTTGAAAGACAAATATGTCAATTTTAATATTCTTGTAAATGTATAAGAAAAATTTTAAAGTGTTTAGATTTTATAACAACGAAAAACAGATAATTAGATTAATGTGTGTTAAGCGCCAAGAAATTTTTGTAACATAAGCGATGAAACCTGTGGTTTTTAATATCTTGATAACCTGTAATCAAAAAGTTGGCTGAAGAGGGGCAATAAATGCCCGAAACGTGTGTAATAACAACACGTATCAACTGAATAAAAACTTGATGATAAGAATTGCCAAGTGCCTGAAAATAAATACGATAATTATTTGTGTTTGAATTACTACAAATGTATTTCTTAATATAGCAATACTAGTATATTATCAAGTAACTATAACTTGTTTAGACCACAAATCATACAAAATTAAAGAAAATCATACATTAAAGAAAAACTTATAGCAATAAACTCACTTTTCACTACACAATACATGGTTGCACAATACACTGTTTGAATGATGATAATGAGGTGATTATACTATACTGTAGAATACATTTTAAAATTTTTCTAGTAGTATAAATTTTAAAGCTACTTTAACTACTAGAAACATTTAAAAATTTTTAGTAGTTTTAGTTTTAAAATTTTCTTATGAAAAAATTTATTAAGCGAACATTAGCAATATATTAAAAAATAAAAAATTTGTATATTTGTTAAAATATCAGACTTTTGTTTAATATTATAATTGTTATTACAGATGTTTTCAAATACTGATCAATTGGTGGATGAAGTATTTTTTGATAATATAAATTCATCTGCAACAAATACGATAGTTGAAAGTAGAGATCCTTGGACAAAAAAACAGAACGAAAATTTAGCACGATCAACATCAGTCACTGCCCCGGGAACAGATTTTGTAGATTATGCTAGGTAATATTTTTTTTTTTTTATGTTTGACTAAGTTTAAAATTTTATTGTAATTTTAAACTTACTTTTGATCAAATAATGTTATATAAATTTTTGATCAAATAATATTATATAAAGTTGTAATAGTTTTAGTACTAAATATTGTTGCTGTTTAGGCCTGTCAAGCATACGTGGCATCGACCTTCCTCTGTAGAACCACAGACTTCTGGTAGTGATGTTGGTATGAAAAGAATTTGGAATAAGGTAATATAAACTATATAGAAATGTCCAAATAAAATTTNGAAATTTGTACCATATGCTTATTAAAAGCTAAATAAATAAATATGCAACAGACAAGAACAAGTTAAATGACGAAGATACAAATACATAAAGGCAAGTATATGAAACCCACATAACTAACTAAACTTCAATTCAGGAAAAGAAATTATTGAGCCTTTTTCCATTGTTGAAATCTATATTGATGGCGTAGAATTCGAAAGAAAGAAATGAATTTTTAAAAATTCATTAACACTTTTAATACACACAGTTATCATAGTTGGCAATCTGCTAACTATAACTTTTAGATGACAGACACCAGATACCACCTACAAGTTGTTTTATAAAATGTAGCCTTGCCTGTAGTATCAAAAATCAGCATATACATAGTAAATAGTTTGAAAAATAAGCTATGCATTATTTGTCTTATTTCAGATGCAAATTATGGTACCAGAGAACAATATTTATTTGTAGAAAAATAATACAAAATAATTAAAACTCATGGAAATAATGTTTTTATTGGTGACATTTTGTTGAAATATTTTCCACACAGAGTTGGCTTCTCTTAGCATAATGGACAATAATAGTGTATTTTGCAGTGTTCATTTTTTTATACATACTTGACTTTGCTTCATAACACCATGTCAAGTATGTTTTCAATGATTAGTATAGAAATAGCAAAATTCATCGTTGGTCCTAATTTTCTTTTTTCATAACATTTGGCATTTTGAATTGGTCAAGCACTGGATTGGTCAAGTTTGAGACTTAGATTGTATGGGTTGTTATTCATGTGTTGAATAACCCATCTATATCTGGTTTAGTTTTCCAGGTGATGCAGATGCCATCCATGTATCTTTTATAAGTGTGAATGTGATGGATGAATGTAGGTAATAGTTTTTGCTCTAACATATTCACTACCATCTCAGAGATCTCCAGAAAGGGAATTGCCCATGAGTATTCCTTGTCATTGGACATATGGTGTTATCACATTTGGGCTACTACTATAAATAATTAACTTTATAATATGTTTAAAGGAAGATAGACTGTCATCTTGTACCTGACTAGATGATTGCTTTTAACATTGTCATTGAATATAAAATTATTCTGTAAGTTTTAATTTATATTTATTCTGATATAATAATAAACCAAAAATTGGAAATAATATTAGAATAATCTATCTATTTTCAATGTTGCAATATAGTATCCTTTTACATGGAGTAAAATTTAGATCATGTGATTTGTTAATAGTCAAAAGTTTATAAATTAAACTGAATTTCTGGACTGAGACAATCAAAAAAGCTTGAAGAACAGCTTTAAGTTAAAATTCTTATGTTTTAATGCTACTTTCCAGAAAATGTCAATATAAAGAAACAAATATATATTGCCATATAAATGTGATGCTGTGTTGGTTCTTCACTTCAGTACGTCAGAAGCAATGAAAGATGATAATGAAAGAACCTTATCTTCATTTAAAAAATGAAAGAAGTATTTTTGGGGTATAATAATATATTCACTACAATAAAAAAGTTAAGAAATTTGCCATACTGTAAATTATTCTTTGAAGGATAATCAATATTTTTTGATATTTTTCATAAAAAGAAAAAATATGTTAAAACAATATGTAATTAGATAACTACAGTACATGTTCATTATTAATAATTTTAAGAAATACAGAAATGGATAAACTATTTTCTAATGAATAAAGACAAAAATATATTTTTTGAAATAATGTTCTTATGTAATCTGCTTAATAGCCAAAATAAAATAGAATACATATTCAATAGCTTGTCTTCTCTTAGGAATATTAAGTCATAAATGTTTCAGTTCTATCAGTGAGAATATAGACCAAATTTTTGTATCTATTTTCTTGTCTTTCAAACATCTGTTTTAGAATTAACTATTATTTTAGTTTATTTTAGTCTTTACCTGAGAGAGAGAATAAAAAAAAGAACGTTTTTAAATTAAGTATTTGAAAAGTATGTTGTATATTTTAAAATTTTTCTTTTACTGAATTTTACACTTTTCTTTTGTAGCTTTTAGATCAAGCATTTGATAATTCTAATAGAAGACAATATGGAATGGGAGTTGTTGGTAAATTGTTAAAACACAGTTTTCGTCAAGACCGCATCACTTCAGATGTTAAACAGCAATTAGATGATTTAGATGATCATAGGTATGAATAATATAAAAGTGGTTTAGATATATTATGAAAAAAATGCATTTTATTAAATATTAAACCATCATAAAATAGAAATATTTTTTATTTAAAAAAGTTTTTTAATATTTTTCTCTTCATCATTTTCTTATTATGTTTCTATTTTTATTATATGAAAAAATATATGCCCTGTTGGCCTGAATATTAGTTGATGCTTTTTCCCAGTTTTTGACGGGCATAAATTGCACTCAACATTTAAGTATGATTAAAGTTTTCTGCAATTCTGGTAACTGTCTTATACAGTACATGCTGTACAGAGCTAAAATTTGGTATACAGTGGTGCCTCGTATAACGTACGCCTCGAATAACGGACGCTGCGAATAACGGACTTTCTGTTTGACCGTTACGTGACTCGAGCAACGGACTTGCTGCGAACAACGGACTTTCCGTTCGGCAGTTACGTGAGACGAACAATGGACTTTTTTCGAACAAGTGCGAATGATGTTTCCACTCTTTTGCCGTTGCCAATGACAATCTGCTATTTTTAGGATATATTAGTATTATTAGAATGTATTATTAGTATATCTGAAGTAGAAATGTAATGTAATATATGTTGATNGAAAAGGCTGAATTCGAAAGAATAAAGAGATTTTGTCTTAAACCACGTAACAAAAAAGCTAGGCTCATTTGAGCCAAAAATCATATTATCTGTGACACAGAATGGAATAAAATTATTTTCTCTGACAGAAGAAGTTTAATTTAGATAGGTCAGATGGTTTTAAAATTTACTGGCATGATCTATGGAAGGAAGAACATTACTGCAGCAAAGGATACATGATGGAGGATCAGTAATGGTTCGGGATAGCTTTAGATTGAAAGGTAAAACTTCTTTAGCAGAAATAAATAGCAGGATGAACTTGGTTGACTATCAAAATATGCTTCAGTCTCATTTACTGCCATACGCCACAAAAAATTGTACTAGGAATTAAATCATTCAACAGGATAATTTTTCAGTATATGTCTCTGAATTATTCTAAAACTGGTTTGACAGGAAAAACATTCAACTTTTGGATTGGCCTAAATTAAGTCCTGACATAAATACAGTAGAAAATTTGCAGGAAATGATTGTGAGACAGATGTATAAGGATAGTCAGCAATTTTCTAAAGTTACAGACTTGAATGCTGCAATTCATGATTCCTGGAACATAATCCCTAAAAGAATTCTTGAAAATTTAATTAAATCTGTGAAAGATTGGAAACTTAACTAATTATTCAGGCTTTTAGTTTTTGTAGTATGCTTTATTATGAATTAGATAAAGATAAAACCAGTAAATTATATTATTTAAGTTATATAACAGAAACTTCAATCCTATAGAATGCCGTTCTTAGCTAGAGGGCATGAGATCATATTAGATCACATGAGATCACACATTCAACTTGGTGTACCTCTTGCCTGTAATTATGCATGGGAAAGTGCGTTTCGTTTAACGGACGTGCACCTGGAACGGATTAAGTACGTTGTACGAGGCACCACTGTATTTGTTTAACAATGCTAAATGCCAAGTTGCCTATTATAACAGCCAAGCTGTGGCCTATTATGCTGCAGTCTGCAAACTATTCATGGAAATTGTTTGGTGCAATTGTAAATAATCAATTAGTCAGTTGTTCAAAAAATTGAGTAAACTAAACTAATGTTATTAACATATTTTGAATTAACATAAAAAGACCCTTTTTTTTTCCACTTTTAGTTGTATTACTGAAACTTTAAATCTCATCTAAATTAATTTTTTTCTTCTTAATAGAAACCAATTTTAAGATGCTTATGAAAAATTTAGTATTTTCAATGTGCTATTTTTCATGTAATTCTAATAGTAGTTAATTATTTTTCAGACCTTTTTTTACATACTGGGTAACAACTGTCCAAATATTAGTTACAATTATTTCATTAGCAGTTTATGGTTTATATAAAATTATTCTGTAAGTTTTAATTTATATTNTGGGTAACAACTGTCCAAATATTAGTTACAATTATTTCATTAGCAGTTTATGGTTTTGGTCCAGTTGGTTTTCACAAAACACAACGATCAAGTTTGGTATGTTTATATGATTAAATCTTTGAATATCTGATTTATAAAATATATAAAGAAAATAATAAATTACTATAAATATGATTAATGAAATATAATTGAAATTGACTTATAGAAAAAATAATATTTTGTATTTTAAAATTTCAGGTTTTTGTTACAAGTTTGTCTCTTCAAGAAGTTGATTATTTTGAACCTGATAATTTTTGGATAGGTCCTAGAGCAGTATGTTTTATATAGTGTATATATTCTTACATTATTTATTATTTTTGTAATTAACATATAAAAATTATACTTGTTTTTTGTAAAACACATATATAAATAATTATTTTTGAAAAATGGGTTTAATTTTTTTAAGATTTAAATTATGTTGTTCTGTAGATTGTTTTAAATTATCTTTATTCTAAGGTGTCTCAAATAATTATCAATATATAGTTTTTTTTTTTTAAATTCAAGACAATATCAATATATTAACTAAATAAAAAGCAATATTCTTTTTAATCATGTTTCATTACATAAATTAAATTCTTCAAATTTGTATGCTTTCATATTTTTTTAAATTGGCAGAAAGAAATTTTACTTTGTCCCAAAAAATTATCAACTGGTTGTTAAAAATACTTTCTAGGAAAATATATGCAAATCATTTTGCATTTTCATATTTATACCACTTCTCTCTAAGCATATGAAAATATTTGAAACATTTGAAGGTCATTTGTTGTTATGGATAAAAATGAGATTTAAGTGACTGTGGAAAAGGCAAAATAGATGCCTGGGCAGTTTAAGACATTTTCCAAACTGAAATAGCTCAAAGATTAAATAGATCTAAGTCAACAATAAGCAAGTTTTTGCAGCAGAAAGGAAGTTTGACAGGAATATCAACTTCTGAATGAAAACCAAAAATAACTGCTTGACAACAAAGGCATATATTTCAGATGGCAATGAAAAACTGATGTTCTATAAGGCAAATAACAGAACATTTGCAAGGTTGTATTTCAAAACCAACTGTTCATTGCACTTTATTGCAATCTGAAAAGGCTGAATTCGAAAGAATAAAGAGATTTTGTCTTAAACCACGTAACAAAAAAGCTAGGCTCATTTGAGCCAAAAATCATATTATCTGTGACACAGAATGGAATAAAATTATTTTCTCTGACAGAAGAAGTTTAATTTAGATAGGTCAGATGGTTTTAAAATTTACTGGCATGATCTATGGAAGGAAGAACATTACTGCAGCAAAGGATACATGATGGAGGATCAGTAATGGTTCGGGATAGCTTTAGATTGAAAGGTAAAACTTCTTTAGCAGAAATAAATAGCAGGATGAACTTGGTTGACTATCAAAATATGCTTCAGTCTCATTTACTGCCATACGCCACAAAAAATTGTACTAGGAATTAAATCATTCAACAGGATAATTTTTCAGTATATGTCTCTGAATTATTCTAAAACTGGTTTGACAGGAAAAACATTCAACTTTTGGATTGGCCTAAATTAAGTCCTGACATAAATACAGTAGAAAATTTGCAGGAAATGATTGTGAGACAGATGTATAAGGATAGTCAGCAATTTTCTAAAGTTACAGACTTGAATGCTGCAATTCATGATTCCTGGAACATAATCCCTAAAAGAATTCTTGAAAATTTAATTAAATCTGTGAAAGATTGGAAACTTAACTAATTATTCAGGCTTTTAGTTTTTGTAGTATGCTTTATTATGAATTAGATAAAGATAAAACCAGTAAATTATATTATTTAAGTTATATAACAGAAACTTCAATCCTATAGAATGCCGTTCTTAGCTAGAGGGCATGAGATCATATTAGATCACATGAGATCACACATTCAACTTGGTGTACCTCTTGCCTGTAATTATGCAATGACATCATAAGAATTTGTAAGTCTCAATGTATTGGTTACTAATTTTCACATTTTATGAAATTCATTTAATTCACTTGAGTTTGATGTTTTGGAACAGGGTAAAACTTTTTTTTCTGCTAATTAAAAAATATAAAAGTGTACAACTTTGTAGCATTTAATTCATGTAATAAACATGATTTAAAACAGCATTATTTTTTATCTAGTTGATATAACTGATAGTTTTGTTTAATTTCAAAATAACATATGTTGATAATTATATGGGACATATGTAATGGAACTAAAGCATATTTATAGTTCCTTAGAAATAACATGAAAAAATTACTCCCATTGTTTCTTTGGTACTTAAACAAAAAATTCACCTAAATAATTTGTTACCCATTTATGTATTTTAAAAGATTCTGCTTTCAATGTGTCACACATGGGGCACACATTAAATGCATTTAAGGTCAGTACAAAATTGCAAATATTCCTCTTTCAAAGAGTGATAATATCGTGTATTTCTGTTTGATAATATTGAAAATATAATCTTACAAAATCATCCAATAATTTTTGTACATCCTATATTTAATTTAATTCAAAAACTATTTTTATAATATTTTAAAAGGAACATTGTTTTATTTACATAAGCACTTAAAAAGGGTTTGTTTGACAATGTAGCACATTGGCAATGTCCTTAAGAGGCCAGAGATCACTTGTGTGAGATTAGCTGAGGATACCTACCAAGGGTATCACTTACACGACTTGGAATCGCAAGATTTGATCTTGAAACTTTTTCCAGGAGAGCATAAATTTTGGCGGAAATAGGTGATCATGTAATCATCTTTTCCTCGTCAGGATTCTCGACACCAGTTAATCAATTTTAGGAATGCGGATTAACACACATTTAGAACGGTGGAGGAGACAATGATAAATAGGTCTTGACTGGCACATCTATATATATTTTCTTCCCTATTTCTGACTTAAACTCATTTTACCAATTTTCGGGATTCGACTTTGGGCGTTGGCCTTCAGGAGATGATATGTAATACGTCTTCCTTCTATGGAATTTCGTGGCGTACTCCTTGAATCATGCAAAACCCTTTCTATTTCTCATGAGTTTTCTCCAATCAGCTTTTAGGATTCTCACATGTGAACAGAGGAAAAGGGGATTTATTGAGGGGTTGACAATTTCCAGGGTGACTAAGATTTTAGCAGATAAGGGAAAAACAAAAGGATATTCAACTTCTATTGAAGGAAGTGACTTTTATCAGTTTCCCTTGTTTGGAAAAACATAAATTTCTCACCAAAATTAAAGAATATTTTTTGTTAAAATTTAAACATTTTAATTAAATTATTAATTAGTCCCAAGGGTAATTCAGATCTCACATTTGTGTATGAACACATTCTTTTTATTATATACGTTTTGGATTTTGTAACTTGCTCATCACTCTTCAGTGTACCAAAATATAAAAAAACCATTTGCAAAATACAAGCATTAATTTAAGTAATACTCGACAGATATCCTGTAACATCATGTAACATTTTGATTTTATCATTATATATGACAGGGGTGGCCAACCTGCGGCTCGCGAGCCACATGCGGCTCTTTGAAGGATTATTTGTGGCTCTCGATAGATGTACCCGAGTTCCCTTTTCATTTTTGTGTTATTATATTTTTAAAAATTATTATCGTTCCTTATGTGTTTCAAAATGTCTTTTAAATTACTAACAACAAATATGAAAGACTAAGTGCAACATTGTAACAAATTTCATTTCTGTCCAAGTTAAGAATGATATGACTCATCGAAAACTGTGCAAACGAACATAAACAGTGGCATAATCATCCGTTATCGACCAACTCCAGATTGATTTTGAATTTGTAAACTGTCATTGCAATGGACAGTTGACAGTGCTGTGGAGGAAACAATTTGTATTACTCTTGCTACAGATATAATTTGTATTCTGGAATTTTTTGCATACCTTTTTAATACGTATTTAATTGCGGCTCGCGAAAAATTTCAAATTTTGAAAAACGGCTCGGACTATCAAGGAGCTTAGCCATCCTGGATATATGATGTCATCCAAAGACATTCTATTATTTAAATTGATTAAATTAACATTTTTTGTAATCATATGTTTTTAAAACTTATTTAAATATAAATTGTGTTCCATAAACAAAATTTTAAGATTACTTCTGTTAAAAATACATTCATTTATACTACAAAAACAGGATGATTGTGTATATTGTAGATGAATTGCCACTTTGTCTTCTTTTAATATTGTTTCCAACATTCTTCCAGTTTCTTCCACGTAATAAACCTTATTCTTGCATGTACATGATACTTTATACAACATGCCAGACTTCTTTGTTTTGTTTTATAAACGATATTTTTTAAACTTATTTTTTTTTACAAAGATAATGGTATTTAAGAAGGGAGGTTGAATGTCACCTAGAGAAAGATGGTTTCTGAACAATCAACCTTTACAATTTGCTTCAAATAATGTATACTTGGGAGTTTTATTTTAGTCTTCCTGACAATTCTTACAGGCTAAAAATTTATAGTATATATAAGGCTAAAATGGCATTGTGTTCTATGTGGCCTATTTTCTCAATAGCAAAAATTAACTCTGCTTCTACTTATATAAAATTTTGTTCAATGATTTCATCTGTATTACTCTATGTCGCTCCCATATGGGCAATCACTTACTACAATAAACTGGAAATCATCCTTGCTTTATATTTTAGAAAAACTTTCATGTTATACAATAAAATTCCAGCATGCATGTTTAAATTGTAGTTTGGAGTTCCAGAATATCAGTAATTACAATAAAAGTAATAATTTTATTTTGGATATGTCTCTTAAAATTAGATGATAAAAGCGTTGTTAAACCATATGTTAAACTTTACAGATTGTGTTCAACGACAAAGGATTGCACATACAGTTGGGCATCAGCATTGCAAAATCTGTTGGATCGACTTGGTTTTTCTTTTCTATGGCTATATCAGTATCCTCATTTCATCAAATGTTATAAATCATTAATTATAAAACTGTGCTGTGAACAAAGTATACAAGAAGATTGGTCTCTATTAGAAAAGAATAAGCACTTTCAACTATATTGCAGCATTAAAACAATGTTCATGTGTGATGATTATTTGCTTATTGATATAAACTATTATGTTAAATGATTAATCCTTCATTTGAGATTCAGTCAAAATTATATCTTAACATATAATAACAGACTAACAATAGATCCTGAAAAAATAGATAGTAACTGTACCATGCATATATACTAAACTTGGTAACATGTATTTTTTCGTTGTGTAAAATTTAGAGTTAGTAGGGACAAGTATTTAATATGGTTTAAGGCTTAGAAAGATATTATTAATAATATCACACTTCTTCAAAGACTGATTATTA